TTTTTTTTTTCTTAAAAAAAAAAAAAAAAAGTTAAATTAAACTCCAATATCTATCTTAGTTTTTCCACTAACAAACAAAGGCTGACTTTGGTGTTGCCTTTGAGGACTAGATATAGCACTGCCTCTCTTTTTCCCTCTCTTTCGTTCTTACTCTCGAGGGACGAGGAAGAAGAATGGAGGCGATAGCAAAGCACGATTTTACGGCGACGGCCGAGGATGAGCTTAGTTTTCGTAGAAGCCAAATCCTGAAGGTTCGTATGTTGTATAAAATAACGTGACAATTATTTATAAACTATGAAAATACTAGTAGATAACTTCGTATTGCTGGTTTTCATCGGAGACAGTTTACCGATCCCGAACTTTCCGAACTGCTTTCGTTACGATCTGCGATACTGTGTCGCTTAAGGATATTTGCGATAATGCATACGTTTTGTAAATTAATGATTGCTATTGTTTTTTGTTATTAATTCTTGAACTATTTTACCTTTGTTACTAGCTACTTAACGAACGATATTTAATATTGGTTTTTTTTTTCAGTATGTTTTGTTTCGAGATACGTGACAGGAAATTTATTATTACTTGATGTTCTTATAATCATAATAAATTCTCCTCCTTTTCCATATTTAATGATCTAATAAAAAATTGATATTTATTAGAAATATATTTATTTATGGTCCTCTCATTATATCTATTATTTATTTATTTTTTTTATAAAAATGAATGTAAACAATTGCAACTTATGCAAAAGATATTTTTCTTTTGTTAATATGTTTAGAGTTATTCATTTTATGGGTGTAACTCTTTTATGTAACAGAAATCTAAATGATTCTGAGATTTATGCATTTGTTCATTTATATCTCATTTTTTCTGATTAACTAATTATTTGTAATAATTTTAATTTATGCTTTTTATTGAAGTGAAGATTATATTTGTAATAGAGATGCAATATATGTTAATTAGATCCTTAAGCTTTTTTTGTATGTAGAAGTATTTTGTGGAATAAGTGATCTACAACACATAAGCATAGCTGCAGTGTTCTTTTTGCAGATTTTAAATATGGAAGATGATATGAATTGGTACAGAGCTGAATTAGATTCCAGGGAAGGACTTATTCCAAGTAATTACATAGAAATGAAAAATCATGAGTGAGTGTTATTACAAATCTCTTTTATTAAAGATTCATGTATATTGCAAGGAAATTTAAATATATCTTAAATTTGATTTGTTTCATTCAGCTGGTACTATGGTAGGATAACCAGAGCAGATGCAGAAAGACTCTTAATGAACAAACATGAAGGCGCCTTTCTTATTAGAATCAGTGAAAGTTCTCCTGGTGATTTTTCTTTGTCTGTAAAGTTAGTAAATAATTTTTTAACAAAATGTTAATGTAAACATCTAAATGAGTAAGTTGAATATGTTGTCAATTGTTTTTTTCAGATGTTCAGATGGTGTCCAACATTTCAAGGTATTGAGAGATGCTCAGGGTAAATTTTTCCTTTGGGTGGTCAAATTTAACAGTCTTAATGAATTAGTAGAATATCATCGTACAGCATCTGTATCTCGTTCACAAGATGTTAAATTAAGGGATATGGTGCCAGAAGAAGTAATTATTTCTTATGTAATAATATAATTAAGTTATGAAGTAACACAGAAATTTTCTTTTTACATTATGAAATTGCATTTTGTTTTAGTGTTTAGTGCAAGCATTGTATGACTTTCAACCTCAAGAACCAGGTGAACTTGAATTCAAACGAGGTGATGTAATTACTGTTACTGATCGCACAGATCAACATTGGTGGCATGGAGAAATTGGTAATAGACGAGGACTGTTTCCTTCTACATATGTTACTCCATATCACTCCTAGGTAAGTATCATTGACATGGTTAATTAGTTTTATATTCGTAATTTTTTATATATTTATTAAACAGAATAATAATTTATTTTAGGCCTCATGTTGTGCACACAGAGGTCAAAGGCACCGGCCACATTATCCCACCACTATCACGTACAGGATCAGACTTACTGCAGAATTAATCAACAACATTTTACAGACTCCACCAATTGAATGGGCTACTAGGATGTATTGGTGGTCTAGGCGTAGAGTTGTTTAATGATATTCAATATTATTCAATATTATCATCAATACTTTTTATTAGTCTCAATGAAAAAACTTCTCTCTATTTAGTAATTTATATAAACAAATGTAGAGTTCCTTGATATAGCATATAACAGGGTAGTATGTCTTTTCTTTTCTTTTTTTTTTTCTTCTGTTTCTTTCGTTATTATTGGATCTATAAGAGAAATTTTTCACTGAGACTGATACTACTATTCAGTGTTTTTGATAGACGTGTATTACACAATATGTATCGCGTTTAATTGTTATAAATCTTATTTTTGTTAATACTCAAATAGTACATAGATTTGAGAGTAAATTTTCAGTATTTACATATTGTAAATGAAATTTTAAGTGATATTTCCTATATCTTGGTAGTCCATTGATGGAGTATGTGTACGAAAACATAATATTAACTGTGTACATCAGTAATGAGAAGTATTGATCGTATTACAAACGAAAATACGTATTGTTTTGAAAGACAGGTTTATAAACGGACTGGCATAAACATTGTATTTTTCAATACGAATTTGTTGTTTGAAGAATGGGGACCTTGGTGATAAAGAGCCTAGTAAGCTATCCATTTGCGAGATACAAGAACTTTATATAGATATAGCATTAAAACGCGTCGCCTTTTGGCATAAAATGCACACCATTCTGCCTCTATGTTGTGAATATTTTTACAAATATTTGAGGAAGAGAATATTCTTCCAACGGTTAAGATACATCTGATATCATTACATCAGATATACTTGCTGTGTATCATATATAGACTTGTATTATTCAGACTGTATGTGGAATAATCATTCTGGCATCGCCTGAGGTAAATTTTTCTCAAGTATTAGTAAAGGAATAATAGCAGTTTAAATAAGCTGCTTCATCTTTTGATTTTTTCCAATCGTATGTAAATGATTGGAAAATTTTATTTTTACCATTGCTGACTATGGTATAAAACATAGTTTTTTGAAAAATTGTGTTTTCTTTTCTGCAAATTTTATGATGAAGAAAAGAAAACGAGAATACAAGTTTTTTTACACAAACGTCATACATACATATTCATATTGAAACTCAAATACAACGACTGATTTATTCTTTGTAATTTAAGAAATATTAGTAATTGGAGGAACGTAGAGAATTAGAATAAACGTATGAACTTTTGCATGAGAAAGTTACTTGATTTTACATTATTTATTATCGTTATAACGAAAATTTATGTTCCGTAATGCATTTTTTTGACATGCCAAAAATAATATATATATATATATATCAATTAACAACAAATTGGCCTCACAAAATAGATTTGACATTTGAACGAATGGTATGTATAACGTTTTTGTTTCAAAAGCTACTAATTTTAAAAGAGCGAAAGATCGTGTATATTTTTTAAATACTTCTTTTTATCTAATTATTTCGACAATCTTGCTTTCTTATTTCCGTGTAAACAATAAAGATATGTAGTCTTATTGTGTAATTATTATTATTCGTTATGTTTACATTTTATTGATAACAATATATTATATTAATTACTCTTGCATGCATTATTTACTTATGCCCATCTACCATAATTATTTTTTCAAAATTAAAAATTTGTATCAAAAGTGATATTTTAGCTCATATAACTGCTTTGCAAATATCATATAGACAAGTAATCTTATATGCTTATGCATGCACTGTATTCAAAATAGATGAAAAAAAGAAAAGCAAGTACTAAAAAAAAGATATGTTTTCTCTTCTTACTGTGAAAGAAAGCAAATGATTCTTGTTAAGTTTTTGTTCTACTAATATATCAAAACTTTTCCACTGTTAATAGTTTTTAAAATTAGTTATTATACTTTATATAGTTCCTAAAAATTAATTCTTATAGTAATGAAATTGGAAATTAATAACAAAATACATATAATATACAAATGTTCGATTTTTATAAGGTTTAACTTTGGAGAAATATAGCAATCAGTTATTTAAGTTTGAGATGTTTAAAACACATGTACTTTATTCTATCTTTGTGGTTAATGTTAATAAGAGTATAAATGTAGTAATAGTTAAATCTTGTCACTGACTTTTTAAAATCAGTAGCTTAGATTATAAGTATATAGCATATAGATTCACTTGCCTTTTGTACTTAAAAGAAATTTATTATAACAAATATCTTTCGTGCACAATTTTACTTTCTTTACTGTTTTGGTTTACTATTGCAATTACATTTTATTTAGATGCGTATTATCTATTTTCATTATTTCATTTGTGTTTTCCAACTCAGTAATAACTAAAGCAACATTCAAATGTTGTTATTATTAATATTATTTTCAAATTATATATGTATAATTGCTTAAATGAATTTGGAATTGAGTTGTCATATGACAACAGTATACCATGATACATCTGGACCAAGAAATGTATGATAATGAGATGTAATAAAATATATATATGTTTAAACAAATTTTATTTTGCTATTTTTAATTTCATTCATCAATGTCACAGCTGTATAAAATTATATTGCTTATACCCACTTTTACAAATAATAGAGGAATTAAAATAAATTTATATCACAAAGAAAGTATAGTGTTGCAAGGATGATGCTTATCATTATTAACTGCCTGATGCATAGTTAATACGTAATTACCAAGTATGTAATTATGAAATACAACTATGACATAATAAAGTATTACGTGAAAAATATGGATCTTTATTTATTTTTTATATTTAACATGTTTTTACAGTTTGGTTTTTTCTACCACATACAATAATTATAAAAAATTACATAACCTATTTTACTTTTAAGATAATATATAAAATGATGTTTAGAATACATTGTCCATCAATGTAAAAACATTGATTCAACATACAAGTCTGTACGATATATACCTTCCGGCAGTTTCAGAAGGTCTAATAATTTTTACAACTTGTCCACGTTTCAAACCAAAATAACGTGCCACTGGGTCACCAGCCTGTATACGCATTAATTGATTTTCTTTTAGTTTGTACCTAGTAAGTAGTTCCTCTTTTTCATCTGGAGTAAGTACAATGTGTTCAGGCACCAATTCATGTTCTGTGATATTGATAAGTAATTCAGATTCTAAAAATTGTTCTAATATGTATTTTGGTGCCATGTCTACCAACGATTGTTTAGCTGAGGGTGTCATTCCCTGTTGTACAACGATGATAGCCCTGTTATAAAAAGAAAAACAAATATTTAAAACTTATTCTTTTCAAGTTAAAGTATTATAATTTTTAAAATTACAATACAATTATTACAAATAAATATTTATTCATTACGATAAAGTACCTATGAATTTTTTCTTCTTGCATACGTTGACAGTAAGTTTTAATAGTTTTAATACCGATTTTTGGTTCATCTGGGAAAAATACAAAAAGCTGGTCCGTTGGATCGTCATTATGAGCGACTAAAACTATAAGATCACTTCGTGCCGGTCTTTTTTCACTTGGTTTATCCCCAAATTGTTCCTTAAACTGCTCCAAAGTTTGGTCCAATTCATCTTGAGTAACCAAATAACCTCGATCGTGACACAATTGCATTACTGTTTTCCTTATTCGCCACAATTTATACGTTTCAGCCTCGTCATCCATTCTTCCCGAAAACTAGAATTATCTCTAAACAAAAATTGTTCAGATATATCACACCTTCCTTTCGTTTCTCGTTTTCTTCAGACAATTGTAACAACGAATATGTGTTTTTTACATAGAAATAACCTCACTTTTCTAAATAGCACACTTAATTGAAAATGAATAACGCACGCATGCGTGCCAATAAACCATGAATTAAACTTTAAATATCACAATACACTTTCTATATTATTATATACTCTATAAAGATTCATTACATTTACGAAAAAACGTATATTATTTTTCGATAAATATTTAAGTAAATTCTAGTACTTACGCAATTAGAATTAATATAATCAATAAATATTAAGGTACAAATAATAGAGAGTGTAACAAAATTCTGTGCTGTAAAGTTTCCGTCTGTAACAAATCAAGAAAGACAAAACATTATAATGCCATTTTCATATATTTAAATGACATTTAATAAAGCCATTTTTCAAATAATTTGTTATAACAATGCGCGCAATAATGTATACATATACTTTATAAAAGAAGCTATTTACGTCCTTAAAACATTATTCTTTAATCAACAGCTAACCAACACAATTTTATTTCATTTTTTGAAGTGTTAAAAAATAAATACCGATAAAAAATGAAATTGTCCAGTGATCATCACGATATCACGATTTGAGAATTGAGGAAAACCTTCGTACAACACAGTTTTCTAGTTTCCTAGAATTAATTCTCTAACAGTATTTATTACTTCTCTGCTTAATTTTGGAAAACTATTTAAATGGTTAACAAAAAATTGTATTATTCATTATCGACGTGTATCGGTAGAAGGTAAAATGGAAGACGCACATGGTAACACCAAATCAGATGATGTTCTGTGCTTATACCTCATTACAGGTATCTAATTTCTCTGTGTGTGTCAAGAAAATTGATAAGAATTCGTAGCTAGTGACACCTGCTAATGATATCGTGAAATATGATCAGGTATCACAGTAACCAGTTCAAATAAAAGCAATGAAAATTCAAGCGACTTCAGTCAGCATCATTTAGTTTTTGAACTGTCCTTTACTTCTTTATTTTCCTGTATTACTATTCTTGATATAATATCAGAAAATGGATTGTTCAATAAATCAATTTTTATCATTTTTGGAGGATAAAGTGGTCTACAATTCTATAAAAAAGAGAAAATATTATATTTATATCAATTCTTGATATATTTTTTTTAAACATTAAATTTACCCCATCTACAAGTGCTTCTTCAAGTTTAAGCATGTTATATATAGTTTCTCCAGTAACTTTACCAAAGATTGTATGTTTATTCTGGAATTCTGGTGTAGGACCAAGAGTAAAGAAGAATTGGGAACCATTGTCACCTTTTCCAGCATTAGCCATAGCAATTAAACTTCGTCGACAAAACCTGTATGAAATTCGTCCTAAAACACGTATATTTAATAATTATATATTAATAAAAAAGGAATTCATTTTATTTTTAAATATAGTCTTTAAATGATTTAAATGATTCTCCATATATGCTTTTATCACCTTCCCCTGTACCTGTGGGATCATCACCTTGTGCTACGAATCCTTTGATAATTTTATGAAATATATCATCCTAATAACCTTCCATACATAATTGTATAAAATTTCTATATGCCTTTGGAGTTTCCTTGGTCCATAATTCTAACTCAATATCATAAACAATTGTTTTCATTATAACATAGCTATAACAAATATATTAGCTTTATTAACATAAAATACTTTTAAAATCAAATTTATTAAAATTTATTACTTATTATTGTAATTCAAATCAGAAATTATTTAATATATTAATGTAGAAGTTTAGAAAGTAAATATTGTATATCGGTTATATTTTTAAAAACAGATATACAATCCATTGAAATATTATTAACTAATACTTACTTTAACTGTAGTCAGCGGCTCTTGTATATAAATATTATTCGTGTTTCTAAGTCCTCTTTAATAAAAAATAATCCTTCGTCAATAATATTTCATATTAAATATTTAGTCATTTATAAATTAGTCAACCAAATGGTTCTTTTCTCGAATAATCATCAGCAGTTAAGACGTACCTTTTACCTCCTTTTAATATTGGTTTTGTTGGTTCAATCAATTCCACGTGCCACAGCCCCATTATTCCTTCTGCTGTTTTTATAGTTTCCAAGTTCCGATAGATATTTCTACACATTTGTACCTTAATGCAACATTTACACTCTATATTCAATTTATCTTCACCTTCTATAACTATTATCAATCGTTCATTCTTCATTTCTTCAATGATCCTCATATTTGCATGTCAATGTTACACAACTTCCTCTGTTGATACATATGCTGCCTCTTTCCTGTTTCTTGATTTCACATAATATGCATTTCCTCTTCTCACTGCTTTCGTTCCAATTTCTCTCTGTTCTTTGTATACCTCAACTCCATCATTCTGAAACTTAACACATTAGCGATGATCAGGGACTTTGACCACTGATATTAATATATACTCAGATCAGGAACACAACGTACCTTTCAATCTCACTGTATTCTCTATATCTTGTTGTTACAATTGGACATCACCTAAATTAACTTTATTTCCTTTTGTCTGCCTAAACCATCTCCCTTTTCTAAATCTTTATTTAACCATCAAAGATTTCTATCTTGTATGTCATATGGTTAGTCGACCTAAAATCCAACAGATATATCATACCTTAGATATTTGTATTACTGCTTCAATCATTTCTTGCCATAAAAAACAATTCTTGGCATCTAATGACCCTTTGTTGGTAATATTCTATTACTCGATTTCTCCTACTGTACAGAATATTGTCCTTTTACAACCAGGTTCTGCTATCACTAATAAAAGGAAAAAGAATTACTTATATATTACACTATTTAATTACAACTGAAGGTTATGTTAATAGAAAGACTTACATTCTTTTGTGTGATGCTGGCATATCTCTATGGACATAACAATGCTTTCCACGGCTTTTCGCAATTTTTTTCTCATTTCCATGCACTCTCTTGTTCACTTAGAGAAAGATTAATAAATTGCTAAATTCCTTATGAACTTTTATAACTGCTTCGTAAAGGCGTACTTTTGCAGGTTTGTCGTCTGCCAGGTAAAGGAATGAATGTTGAATGTCTAATTAAAATTACTGTTTGGCCTGAACTTATTAAAGAACGTAGAAAACTTTATGGGGTTCCTAAGTGAATATAAAGAAGGTAAGAGAATGTGTATTAGTTATTTATGCCGTTTTATTGTTTTAATTATTTCGTCCATCGTCGTTCAAGTTCATTGTCCAAAAATCAAAGTTGCTTGGATTTTCTATTCTTGTCTATCTCATCTATCTCATTGTAGGTATTAGAGTCGTATCAACGGATTCCATTACACGCATATAGATTTTATTTTTTAAATGACAGAATGTCCTCAGGTTTCCCTTTTTATTTATATATCGTTATGTCAAAAATGATAAACAATAAATTTGATGTAAGGATACTGAACACGGATATATTTCTTTTTCATGCTTAATTTATTTTTCTTACAATGAAATTTTTGTTTTCATTTTGAACAACGCTGCGTACAATTTCTATATAATTTTTTGAACATACAATTATATTTATTATTATATTAAATATATAATTATAACAAATATTTGTTGTTGCAATTATTATTATAACAACAAATATTTGTTGTTATAATTATTATAATTATTACAATATATTCGGAATATAAACTGTTACTACTGACAGGTGTTACATTTACGTCTCTGACGTTCTAATCCAGCAATAGTCCCTCTTCATTCGCGATCTTCTGCATAAATCCTACTGTTCCCGTAATATCGGCTCTCCTTATCGGGCGATAAGGAGCAATCGCAGGGAGAAAAACGAAGTGGCTGATCGGGAAATTCGAGCGGAAAGCGCGCGTCCTGTTCTCATCCCCCGCATCTCATCATTCCCCGCAGCGCAGCGATTGCTCGTTCCTTTCAAAATAAACGCGAATGATGCAAATAGCGTTGGCCCCTGCATTACCGTTCATCCATAGGAAAAACTGCCCCGTGATCGCGTCAATGCGCTCCCCAATTTACAATTAATCAATCTGCGGCGGCTAAACAACCCCCGGCGCGTGACTTCAAAGACTGCTGACACCGTGCGCGATAAATCATCTAGCCGGTTGCACGAGTCCGAATCTGAACGTTTTACGATCCAACAGATGCGGAAATATCGCGGCAGCATAATAACAGGCACCACGTTTATTTGCTGGCCGTGGAATAAACACACCGTCACAGATCCGCTATCGTTTTCACCGTTGCCCGGCTTAATTGTCGGCATTACATTTATTCCGGGGAAAATATTTCCCCGGTTTGGCATCGGTCCGTCGCCATTCCGGGATATATCTGCCCGCCCCGTTATACGTTTTCGTCGCGCGGATCTGCATGGCCATTAACCACCACCAGCAACCCCCGCTCTATGCTCATCTAAATGCCGTCAGTTACTCGCTCGTTTAACGATACTTACATTAACCGAAGCGTGTTTATAACGTAGGACAGGATTGTCGTGTCGTTTTTGGTATACGCCACGTGCTCGTGATTAATTAAACCTGTCTCCATTCAAATTACAAAGCAGAAGACTCGTCTTCCTCTCGCCTTCCTTCGTTTCGTCTTCGTTTCATCTTCATTTTGCCTTTGTTTCGTCTTCGTTTCACCTTCATTTTGGTTTTGCTTCATTTTCGTTTCACCTTCATTTTGCCTTTAGTTCGCCTTCATTTTTCCTTCATTTCGCCTTCGCTTTGTTGTCGTTTTGCCTTTATTTTGCATTCGCTTCGCCTACGTTTAGTCTTCGTTTCGTCTCCGTGCCTCCTTCATTTCGCCTTCATTTATCCTTCATTTCGCCTTCGCTTTGTTTTCGTTTTGCCTTTATTTTGCATTCGTTTCGCCTACGTTTTGTCTTCGTTTCGTCTTCGTTTCGTCTCCGTTTCATCTCCGTGCCTCCTTCATTTCGCCTTCATTTCGCCTTCATTTCGCCTTCGTTTCATCTTCGTTTCATCTTCGTTTTGCCTTCATTTTCCCATCTCCTCGGCTTCGTTTCGTCTTCGTTTCGCC